CAAAGGGTAATTTATATATTTAACTTTTTAATTTGATTTATATTACAAACATATTGACAACTGCTTGATTTATAAGCAAGATGAGTTTATACTACTGGACGATTTCTATATCTGTTGGTTGTATAACTGTGTAAGGATTTTATGGAAAGAATGATTTGAAACTGACCAAGTAACTTCATTTTATCTGTAATAATACTTCTTATCTGATTAGTTGTCAATGTTATTATCCATATTACTTATCACCATTATTTTATATTGTATATTGATTACTATGATACTGTGTAAACTTTTTAAATTGTTTTATATTGCAAACATATTGACAACTGCTTGATTATAAGCAAGATTAGTTCATACTACTTGACGATTTCTATATCTGTTCGGTTGTTTAAACCATGTAAGGATTTTATGGAATGTGAATAAATGAATGAATGAATGAATGAATGAACTGTGTCTGTGAGGGAAATATCCCTGACAGCCATTGAATAGTAGTGTGTAAAAAGACCAGAATATGGTGGTAACAAAAGAAATACCTGCCCCTGATTAACCGAAGCTTAGCAAGTCATTTATGTGATAAAGTTTCCCTAGTTCATTAAATAAAATGAGAAATCAAGTATATTTCTTAGTTTGAACACAGATGTACTCCATTCTTTTCAGATTTATTTTAATGAGTGTGTCTGATTGGCAGGACATTGTGGCTGGCACAGCTGCTTGTGAAGAAGTTAAGGCCAGCAAGAAGTTTGCTCAGATTCTTGAGCTCATTCTTCTTGTTGGAAATTACATGAACAGTGGCTCAAAGAATGGACAGGCATTCGGTTTCGAAATTAGTTTCTTACCCAAGGTGAGATTGAAAAGATATGCTCTAAATCTAGCGTTACTATGTGAGATTCATTGTTACTGTTCTTTACATTCGTATAATGGTTATAACAGAAGTACTGTGAAAGCACATTTAATTTTATAAATAAATGATATTTATGTCTTGTATGCTTGTCCAGTTTCTTATGTGAACATATTTTGCAAAATCTTGCAGTGTAAAGAAGTTTTATGGATTTCTGGAATGGAATATATTCTTAAAAGACTTATGAGTCTTAAAACTGTCTTTTTAATTGTTCCATGTTTTATTCCAGCTGCTTGAAAAATGTAAGTTTCTGGAAAATGGTACCAACTTCTCTTATGATATTTTGTTCTGTTATGAATTCATATCCTGTACATGGTACATAGAGTACTAAATGGAGAAGATATTGAAAACAGTGTGAAGTACATTTTGATGCAGACTGCAATTCAGACTTTGAAGACACTTCGTAAAGTACCCGTAATAAGGCAGCTGTATATAGGGCACTATGATATTGTCACGTGTATGAGTGACTGGAATGTTAAGTGGATTTATTGACCACTTACAGATCCTAACTACAAGTAACTATAATAGTCTCACTGAATTACACATCTGAATACCAGTGTAACCACAGTACCCATCAATCCTTCTCTGTCTGCACTAGTCGTTTCCTGGTAACAGATTTTAACGCTGCCCACTTATGTACTTACCACCTGACGCATATCTGACAACTGAACTGAACTCTAAACATGCCCCATTAACTTGCCCATTGGCACAGACTGTGTAGGAAACACCGTTTCCAACAGTTCCTGTATTGCTGAGTGTTAATTTGTTGCTGGAGAGTTGTGTTTACTGTGCTGTTGCATGTACATATGCCACATATTAGTGAGATTTAAACTGCATTCTTTGTTGGTCTGTTACCCCAGTCTGAAATAAGTCGATGCATTTTTTTTCACAACAGTTTCTTACATGTTTAATGTTAGAAAGTTGTATGTATTCCAGTTGTGTTTAGAATAGCCCATACTATAAACTACATCCTGTATTGGTCTGTTACTCCAGTTCAGTATGAGTCAAAGCATACATTCTCACACATATGCATATGCAGCAAAGTCTAGGCAGATCTTTTGTTCATAAAGCATGACACCCAATTATTAGAGCTGTCAGCTGCAAATAGAAGAGGTTCTGCAAGTTTAAAAAACTCCTTAGCTTTTTTCATCAGGTAATGGTAATGACAGTGAAAATGTTGAATTATTCTTCATTATTTTCATATCCCCATAATAACCACTCCACAGAAGAAGAAGAAGAAGAAGAAGAAGATATTGCTGCACCCACAGACCCTAATGCCATTTTCTGTTAAATGTAATTGCGCATTGTACTGAACCACTTAAGAGATTGAGTGTCCATTGGAATGAACTTTGCTTTTATTTTGTAGTTTTATAATTACTCAGTGTTGAGGTTGCACTTTATATGGAATGTTTTTGTAACTGTTTTCCTCAGACATAAATCTTGATTGTATGGTTGTCATCCATAATTGATTACATTTGTTCGAGGTACTTTACACCAATATTTACTCACAACTGAAGATTCCACCAACCAGTGGTAGTCCAATTCTGCTAGCATACATTGTTTGCTGTGTTACCATTTCTGTCCTCTACACATAACTAAATTTGAAGAGCCTTATATCCTGGAATATAAGGCCATATAATCCATTGTGATTCAAGTGAAAGTTGAAGAGTAAACAAAGCAAGAAACCTGCATTAATCAGGTGGCATGCTGGTCTCTTGCTTGTCTTACTCTCCAACCCTGAAGATGGAGGTGACATGTTCCTCTGAAAAGTCAGTTGACTTTCAACAGATCACATTGCATAACTAGTTTTATGTGAGATTTGAGTTTTTTTATGTATATATTGCTAGTGGGGTGGGACTGTCCCTTGTACTGCAGCCACTTCTGGCCTATTGTGCCAGCCCCAGATGATAGGTGAGGGTGATTGTGGAGCAATTGGTCGAATGATGATTGGCAGGGGAAACCGAAGTACTCAGAGAGAACCTACCCCAGCGCCACTTTATCCACCACAAATCCCACTTGACCAGACCCGGGATTCAACCCGGGCCACCACAATGGGAAGCCAGTGACTAACTGCTTGAGCTATGGTGCGGCCAAGATTTGAGGTTCATGTGGAAGTGACCATGATAACTGTTGTCTTCTGGGTAGTGTTGCTGTGTAAGTACCAGCATTTCAGGGGAACCTACTGCCTTATTCTTCAATGTAGAAGAGGTCTTAAACCATTTAACATACAGCTAACATTGTCTTCTTCTTCCCATGGTGAATAATTTTGTATCTGTGCGTGCTATTAAAGCACATCTTTAAGTTCAGCTGTAACAGTTTCTTCTCTCTTTAGCTGACAAGTACAAAGGATGTAGAGAACAAGATGACACTGCTGCACTATTTGGTGGAAACAATAGAGAACAAATTTCCAGAGTTGCTAACATTCAATGAGGATTTGGCGCATGTGGATAAAGCAGCCAGAGTCTCTGTGGAAACAATACAGAAGACTTTGCGACAAATGGATGCCAGCATCCGGAACCTGGAGGATGATCTAAATAACAACAAGCAACCTCAGGGAGATGACGACACATTTACTGAAGTCATGGGTGTATCCTTTACCCTTGGTGGATACATTGTTTCTTTATTATTACTGAGAGGAATGACATTTGGGTTTAATTCAATAAATTTTGAAATAGAACTCTCATGTTGCCTTTCAGATGTTCACTGTGGGGGGGCAGGGATTGTGAAGGTCAGTCAGACTATAACTGGGGGTATTCACCACTTGCATTTACTTAGCTGCTTTTTTGTTTCATGATATAACATGCCTCACTCTTTGAGAAAATCAGTTGGAAGTCTGGTTAGTGATTATCACAGGAGAGGTTTTCAAGCTTTCAAAGTTACCCCATTCCCTGGTTAATGCCAGGATATCAAGCGAACACTGGCCATGATCGTTTGCTCCACATTCCATCCTGATTGTTAATCACATAATTATTGTTGTATCTCATTTACTTTTGCATAACTTTTGCAGTTGATACATCATCATGAAATGAATTATTAACTATTCTAGAAAGAAGTGAATCAGTATATGTCAGTTTTTCTTAATGTAAACTCTCAGACGTTTGCCAAGGATGCTCGGTCACAGTATGAAATCCTGGATAGCATGTTCAAGAACATGGAGTCTTTATATACTGATCTCTCAGAGTTCTATTCTTTTGATAAACAGAAGTATAGCTTGGAGGAGTTCTTCAGTGATGTCAAGACATTTAAGGATGCTTTCTTGGTAAGTGTTTTTTGATGTTTAATTTGGTTCCTAACAGTTAAATCTAAAATAAAATCATGGCCAAGTACCAGATGACCGTAATTTAGTTCCCGGTTTTAAAATGTGGTTATATATTGTATTTAATATGCAGCAAGCGAACAAAGATAATGTGAAGCTACGAGAGACAGAAGAGAAGGTGAGGAGAGCGCGAGAAGCCAGGGAGAAGGCTGAGCTAGAACGAGCAGATCGTGCAATGAGAAAGAGAGCGTTGATAGACATGAATGCAGACCAGACACAGGAAGGTGTCATGGACAGTTTGTTGGAAGCCCTTCAAACAGGATCAGCATTCAGCAGGGACCAGAGACAGAAGAGGGCACGACCAAGGGCAGCTGGAGGTTTGTGGTCAATATATCAGTAGTACACTATTGCAACATGGTCAGAAGCTCACATTATTCATTTTCCAAACTAGGGGGTCATATGTCCTGGGAAAGGAATTTTTTGTGATTTTTATCATCCCCCAGCAAATAAAAATCAGGATAGTACCTTAAAATAGGCCATGACAGCTTTCATTTTGCACTCAATTTGTAGTGCTTAATCACTTTACTATATAACATATAAGTGAGAACTTCAGGAGATAGAGGATGTCGCATGGTTAGTGCAACAAATCCCCACGGCTTTTAATTTCGGTTTTTGAGACCGGAGCCGCTATTCCTTGAAATAGCTCCTGAGTTATCCTCACGAGGCTGAGTGGACCCAGTTCCAGACTCACTCCTTCTCAGAAAGTCTGGTAGTGCCGGGAATCGAACCCAGACCTCTGGATCTGTAGCCAGGAACTCTGACCATTAGACCACAGAGGCGGGCACTAACTTCACCGACCAGCGGTGGTTGCACAGTCGATTTAGTTCGCTTACGGACTAAAACCACTTTGTTTGTTTTGTTTGTATCACATATATAGCTGTATAGCCTCAGCAGTTGATACAGTGTTATAACTGACTGAACCAACAATAGCATATTTAGGAAACACTATTGGTTGTTTCAGCGGAAAGAAGAGCACAACTCAATCGGAGTCGTTCTAGATCTGGTTTAGTAGGTGGAGGCCTTACAGGTAGAGAACTTTCAAGGTAAGTGCACAGCCATTAGAGCTGTAAAACTGGAAGGGAAAAAGAGTCACAGTGACTCGCCCACATTGGGTGAGACTGATGTAATGTTGCTGGACCAAAAGAAGAAAAAAATTCACCTACTCTGCAGTACCAGGAAAATTAGACATTGTAAGACTATCGCTAATAGCTTACAAATTGCATTCTACATCAGGAAATGGTCAGAAAAGCAATTGTTTATTTGGGTGATACATTTTATCTGATCCATTGTGAATCATAATCCTGAAGCAAAATTCAAAGTATGCAAAGTATGATAAAAGTTGCAGTGATCTTCTTTCAGAGCCTTCCGTAATAATTACATATCCACAGTCTTGCATGAAACTAATTTTCTGTGTGGTTCACTCATGCAGATAGTAGTTTAATAACATTTGTTTTTTTGTGTGTGTGAGAGTGCACACAGCCGGTCACAGTAGCCGAGTGATCTAAAGCATGTACTGTCTTCGCTCGCTTGGAAACCGGGATCGTGGGTTCGAATCCCACTCAGGGCATGGATGTTTAGTTTGTGTGTGTGCGTTTTTCTGTGTTTGTGTACAGATAGAGGCCTTGCGACGAGCTGATCACCCGCCTAAGGAGTCCTACCGACTGTGTAAGATCTAGAAAAACCGAAGTGAACACATTTGGTGTATTGACATGAATTTAAACGTTGTTAACATCAGCTCATTGGCTTGTGATGGTGTCTCATATATTGTCATATAAGACATTACTTTAAGCTTAAAGAGAGCCCACGAAAACTAAGAGGTCAAATTAAATGTGAACCTTAAATCCTTAAAATTACTTGACATGTAACAGCTATTATGCATCACTTAACTCCCACCCTAATTATTTTTTAATTGATCTCGTATTTGGTGTATGTAATTAAGCTAGAGTCTATAATAAAATAATATGTGGTTGGATAGTATGACCACATGTAAGACAGCTACAGAGTCACCGGGGTGAACTTGTCACACCACACCATATGCAACAGCTGTTGTAGCATAAAGAAACACTGAAGCCAAGCAATAATCCAGGCAACTACCAGTGTTGGTGTTAGCAGCATAATGATGTTTCGTTATTCATTTACAAATATTTATATATCAGGATGTATGTTTAATGTTAGAAGTTGATGACAAAGGATGATATAGCAAGAGGAAAAACATATTCCATTTAGGTAAATATGGCGAATATTTATGAATACAGTTGGGATAATCTTGAATATTGCACCAGTGGTTAAAGTAATATGCATTGGTAGATGTATGTTTATCCTATGTTGAGCAGATTGTTTAGTAATCTTGTCACTTATGATGATGCTTCATAGAGTTACATACTTGTTTGGTTCTGTTTAGTGAATTGCTCAGCACGGCGTAGCAACAATTCCTGCAAATAGTCAGCATTTTCAATTGATCTTTGGCATCCGTCCACCTCCAAGTCTCAGCCAAGGTGTAAACATTCATGAAATTGTACATAGTATTTCCCAGCATGAAGAAATTATATATTTTATATTGTTATAAACAACTAAAGAAGGTACTCTGTTTTTTAGCTTATGTATAACATTTGGTACAACTAGAAATTGGTATATGTTGCCACTTCGAATGTGCCAAAAGAAATCATGGATACCTTCATAATGGTTGTCATTACTCCAAAGGTGATTGCAGATTGCAGAATCAGTGTGATGTAATGTATAAGTGGTGTGTTGCGCACAATATCCATAGGAATTCACACATTTAGAATAAATGGGCTTTATTTAAAAACCACATTTTATGTAACATATATGAGTGCAAATCATGTGTCCTGACTGTCTTTGTTTGAAGAGAAATAAATACCAGGTCAGGTGGTCAGTGTTTATCACATATGAGTCAGGAAATATTCATAATTGAAGTAGCACATCAGTAAAACTATCATATTTCCAATCTTTAGAATTACATTTCATAGCAACACAGTTTCTCTAATATTCATTGAATTTAAATTTTTTAAGTAGAATAACACAGTTGTACCTCAGACTTATGATATAATGCTTTCCTGAAAATGGGTCTTTAGTCAAAAAGTCATAAGTTAACTTCGTTGTAATATGGAACATATAGTGTTTTGTTCCTGGAGATCAGGGCTCAAACCACCTTTTCAGTATTCTAACCCCTATTATGCCATAACTCTGTTTTATTATAAAATCAGTAAAGGGATAGCAAATAACATAGTATTAAATATGTAAAGATTTGTTGTATTTCAGCATCCTGTAGCACTAACTTATCAGTTATCACTTATACACATGTAATTCTGTCTCAAATACGCTTTATTTTCATTTATTCCTCTTTGCTGCTTGTTTTGGCCTTACCTGACCATCATCAGGCAACTGTTATCTTGCTAAAACTGTTGTACTCTATTTTCCATTGTATTGAAAATGAATTAGTTCCATATTAAAATATGTTGTTACATAGTATGTGTGACTGTAAATTGGGTTTGGATTGTTGAATGAATTTATTTACTACTTACAGGTCGTAACTACAAATAATTGTAACACAATCACTATTTGAACACTCTGCAATTCACTAGAGCACACACACTATAATGTTCTCAGTCTGTAACTATGCATTTCTTGGTAACCACTCCAACAATGGCTATTCCTCTGCCTCCAGGCTCACATCCTGTCTTCACAGACTCACATACTAAACTGACTAAGCTCTAAACCTCCCAGTCACAGCAGGTCAGCATGGAGGATGTGGAAAACCCAGCTTCCAGCAGTACCTTAGTTGTTGTCTGTCGAACTGTTGCTCTAGAAACATGTTTCCCAAGTCGTTGCCTATAAATGGGTCTGGTATATTTGCCTGTCTTGCAGTCATGGCATAATAACAGCTCTTTATGCTACAGTATCATTATCATTCCATTTGTCATCATTCATTCATAAAAGATACTCATTGAGGGCATTACTCGACATGTTTTCTCACTCTGTTTTCCTCCTACAGCATTGGTGTTTTCTGTAATGTGCAATATGTGTTCTATTAATGACTTTTGTTATTGTTAAATTTTACACATTTGATGTTTGCTTAATTTGACTTATGCACATTGTTTACTGTAGTTCTTAAGGCTGTCACAATGTTGTTATTATCTGCAATATGTAAGAATGTGACACACAAACTCCAACTAATTCAGCACTGTGGAAATATACAAACCAATGGAGCAGGTAAGTATAAAAAGAAGCTAATGTACAAACACAAAAACAAGAAAATATATTGATATGTTGGGTTTTTGGACTTTATCCATCGTCCTGGTTTTTAAGATAACAAATAAAAACACGACGTTTCAGAAACTGGATCTGTTTCTGTCCTCAGGTGAAGGAAAACACCTATTCTGTTGGGTCCGTTAGAAAGAACTAGCCTCAATCACTGTGTTATCTTAAAAACCAGGACAATGGATAAAGTCCAAAAACCCAACATATCAGTGTGTTATACACCATCGTCAGAATCCTATAGTAAGAAAATATATAATCATACATTTTACATAATGCAGATAATAACATTACAATATCTGTAAAAATTAACAGTTACAAGAGTCATTAATACAGCACAAATTATATATTACAGAAAACACCAATGATACAGGAGGAAAGCAGTATGAGTAATGCCTACATACAAATATCTTTATGAACGAATGATGACATTTGGAATGACATTGATATATTTTAATTTGCAACTAATTCATTTTAGTGGAAAATACAGTGTAACAGTTTCAGCAAGATAACAGTTGCCTGATGATGGCCGTGTATGGCCGAAACATGTAGCAAGGAAGAGGAGTAAATGAAAATAAGGTTGCATTTGAAAGGGAAATGTATGTGTGTATAAGTGATTTAAACACTTAAAAATAATCAAGTTAATTAATATTTTACCGTGGATCATTAAGAGCTAAATTCAAGCGAACAGAATGTTACAACATGGATCATACATGTTATGACTGGAACTACAAGAGTATTGACAAACTTTGTAAACCAATTAACGTGTTATCAGAGTCCAGCATCTCCAGCACCCTCTCACGTTTTGGTAGGTAAGGTCTGGTTATGGGAGATTTTGGAACGCTTCAATTTAAATTTCCTAGCTGCATTTGCACCCAGGAGCAAAGTCAGCCTTTCCTTTAAAGCTTTTAATTGAGGCATAATTTTTTCCTCCTCGGCAGTGTAGGTGCTGGAGGGAATTATTTTTCTCCAAAAGTCTAAAATTTGAGTCTTGGCTCATAATGCCAGAAATTTGGAGCATAAATTAATGGGTGTTAATTAAATTAGATCTTAAGTCAGGGAGTTATAGGTCGAGGTATGGCTGTAACTGGTAGTGAATTGTAGAGCTGTTACATTCCCCAAATTTAAATATATGTGGGTTTTATCATTGGGGAAATTTAGAGCATTACATTTCTAAGATAAAGATAAGCCATACTCTTTAAAGAGGACTCACTAAATGAAATCTGAAATTTTGAAATTTGGAAAATAAACTTTGAATAATATACAGTCATTGTAAGACTGCAGTTGAAGAATACAGCTTTGAAAAGTTGCCCATGAACTAAGTATGCAGTCCTAAAACTAAAAGTGACGGTTGAAAGAAATGGGCATAAATCTTGATATGAGGACATTCATATTGTTACTTTATAATACCTTTACACTTTAAATGTAGAATTTCAGGAGGCTGATCCTTCTGCTTCAAACATTGAGGTCAGAATTTAAACAAATTTTAAGTTCGTATATTTCCATTGTATGTAAAACCTTTAATAAATATAATTTTAAAATTTTTCTTTCTTCTTGGTTGACAGGGACTGTCTTTTGTCTGGCCCCTGTCCTTTGACCTGTCCAGATGAGTAATCCTTTCAGGAGCTTATACCAGTAGTAGCATAGCTGTCTGGGTGATGAGAGCAGGTTAGGGCAGTATCTCAGGGGAGGACTGGTAGTGCGTGGCAAAGAGAATTTCTGTAGAACACGAAGGGGTACCAGGTTTCTCTGGCTTGCTTTTAACTCCGTTGTGCAGTTTCATGAGCTTTAAACTTACACTTTCTACGCAGAACACTGCAACCACTTTCAGGGCTTCCAATTGCAGGTCTTTGTCTGAACACGCTGCAGATCCTTAGAAACTCTTGTTGTTTCTCCAGCCTCTCACAGGTTTTCACTGATGTTTAATTAGCTTTCTTTTTTATTCTTTTCCCACTTCTTTAGCATATTTAATCATTTTTAATTTAGAAAATGCTGTAAAACTATTCCCTTTGCTCAATTGACCATGTGTGTATTTCTCACATCACTCAAGTGATAGACAGGTGCCTCCAAAGGGCTGCTACAGAAATCAGAAGGAATGATTTTAAAAATATGTGGTTACACAGGTATGTCTTTTACAGACTGTGCTGATTTTTAAGTCCGTTAATTTTAAGGCACAGTGACAGTATATTAGGTTGTTTAATATGGAAATTCTTCACTGAGTTAAAAATGATCAAATTTTGTACTAGGAGAGTGGAATGTGTAGGATATTCTAGGGTTCAAGGTTCATTTGGCATGGCACTCAGAGAAGTGTGATTCTTATTCAGGATTAATGTAGTACTCAAGAGGGATTCTATTGAGTGGTGATTGACACCGGCTCTTAGATCAGGAAATATGACTAATTACAGATGAAACGACAGGGTGTGGGGGCAGATTTTTACTTTTCTTGATCCCCATATATGCAGTCCACTTTATATACATGCACAATATTGAAGTTAAGTGATAATCGAAGAGCCTCTACATTTCCTGAGAATTGCAAGTGATGTAATTTTACAATAACTCAAATAAAATTATAATAATCAAATAGTAAGATCAAATCACTTCACTATCTGAAACACATATTTAGTGGTGTTAATGTGCATAAAATTTAGAAATCAGGAATGTGATACATGAAAAATTTATAAGCCAAAATTCTAGGTTGTAAAATTAAGTCAGATCATGCCAGATGATGGTTGTGAGTTCATTAGATTGATGCATTCTGCAACTGCCTTAGGTCACCTGCCAGAGCGCACACATCAGCTGTTCTCATGTTCATTTTGTACTATGCATAGATTTCATTCATAGTCTTTGTAACATTTCATTACTGTGAACCATTTGTGATACTTTTAAATGAATAAATATATATATATAAAGAAATAATATGTAGGCCTTTATATGATTAATGTATGAATTATTTGACAAAAATGACAGAGTGCTTTATTTTTCTGAAGTAATTTTATCACACAAATTTTAATACCATATGTCTCTAATGAAGTATCTGGAGTAGAATAACTGATAGAAATAATCCTTTCAGTGCTAGACTAAAAATCCTCTGTATTCTGAACATGCCATGCTATTTGTGTAAAATTTGAAATAGAAATAAACAAATTCTGCTCACCACCATTTTAATGATGATGACCTTATAAATGCATAGACTGTTATCTGTTAGTCTCAGAATAGTGATAGTTTTGTGTTTAGAAGTAAATGAAGTTAAGAGTGTGCAGAATATGGATGATAATCTAGTCTACCTGACACTTTGTGCAATTTATTCTACCATCTTTCTAATTGACCTTGGCAGTGTAAAGGTTAATAACAGCATTTACAAAGAGTGTGTGAGTGTGTGTGTGTAGAGGTGTGGTGGATGTATGCAGTATGTTTTGTCTGTCTTGTTAAGGCTTGTCTGTTGTAATGCAGTGAGTCATTTCTCTTATTCATTGTCATTTCAAAACACTTCTAACAAAATAATGTATAAACCCTTAAATTGCTTGAAATTATAGTGCTTTAAGTGCTTCTCTTCAAATTTTTTTTTTTTTAATTTCTTATAGGGTTGCTGTGGTGTACAAGTAAATTGTGATTGAATTTGAGAACCCATTCTTTAAGGAATTTATGGTACTGAAGTGCTGCATCTCTGTCAGTAAAGTCATTAATCAAGAAGTGTATGGACAGGATTGGTTCGTAGCAAAGGGTCTTCACAGCTTTTCATTTTCACTGTGTTCAGAATGACTGTAGTCCACCAAGTCTGTGGCATAACTTATGCCATTCTGCAGATTTTAGTTAGCATTATGTTGTGTGCTCTACTGCAACTGGAAAAATTACTATGTATTTTACAAATAGTTACCCCTCTTCCTGGGGGGGGGGCATAACTGGCAAAGCAGTGTGGAGTAGGGTCCAGTTTTGTTATTGGTCACTGCATCCCTAAGATATGGACAGGTGGGGCTGTGTTAAAATTATAGATCCTTAGAAGAGATATGTTTTGAGAAATTACTTCATATATTCTTGTCCATAAATTTGAATTGCAATGTGTATGAGTAAGAGAGTTTATGGCATCTGTTGAAATCTAATATGACATGCAGTGTTATTTGTTGTGTCATAAATAAACATGTATAGGCTTGCTAGAAGAAATGATTAGATTTGTAGACTGTTACCATATATGTACCTAACATTTTGACACAAATAAGATTACTGGCCTCATTAGAAAATCCACTGCCATTTTACAAGCCTGAAT